CACTGAGCTACATTCCCCAGCCCTTTTTATTTTTAGACGGGGTCTCACTAAATTGCTGAGGCTAGCCTCCAACTTTCCATCTTCCTGCCTCAGCCTCCCAAGTAGATGGGATCACAGGTGTGCACCACCATGCCTGGCTTCCAGGCAATTCTTATGCTCAGGGGACAGAGTGGGAGGAAAAGACAGGGCGAGCCGCATGCATATTCACAGACCCCAGATATAAGCCTTTCCCCACCTGGGCCCCAGAAGGTCACCCCAGAGTGAGGTGGGGTGTTCATAGTTGTCTCCTGCACCGTTATTCTCTTCTCATCTGGGGAGATGACACCCACTGACAGCAGCAAGAAGCATGCACCTGCACACAGCGGGGGACCAGGAGGCTCTGGTCATCCCTGTTCCTCAGCATGGAAGGTCCAGATCCAGGGAGGAAGGAGTGGCCAGGGATGCTCATGGCGGCATGAACCAGCCTTGGTCAGGATGGGAAGGACAGGAGAGGGAGACGCATCATTCAAGCCACAAAGCTCTCTTAGACATTCCCTGTGTGCCAGGCCCTGCCCAGACTTATTTCAGTGTCACCTTTGTTGGCAAAGTCCAAAGCTATGAAATAAGGAGACTGTTCCCACTGGTTCTCCAAGTGTGGTACCCATTCGGCAGCAGCAGTTCTTGGGAACTTGCTAGAAATGCAAGTTCCCAGGCCCTCCTCAAACATTGAACAGGAATTTAGTGGGTCAGTCCCTCTTCTCCCAAAAGCCCTCCAAGGGGTTCTGCTTTTCCATTTAGTTTGAGATCTACCACCCTAGGGTAAGGGGGAGCTCTAGTTTAATCAGGGCAGCACAGGGCCTGCCTCAAGGAGCTCCCAGTGTGACAGGAAGACAGGTAGGACCCTTGTCATCTAACAGGAAAGAGTCCTGGGCCCAGAAAACTCCCACACAGTGGGGGACACCTGAAATCCCACCAGCAAGCCCCTCACCAACTCTATGGTCCCTCCCTATAGAAGCACCAGGCTAAGGTTCTTTGGAGGGGGCTGGACCCAGAGAAACCCCTCCACTTTGTCTCTCCATTCTGCAGAGAGCAGTTTGATGTGCTAATGAGGGTATCAATTATTGAGCACTATTTGCATTCATTACAATAACAAGCAAGGGAGGAGGGACTGCAGGGGACAGAGTAAAATTTCTTTTGAAATTTACTGCCACTTGTTCCTCTCCTGTGGAGTGGGAGTGGGAACTGAGAACAAGGAATGTGAGAGGAGAGGTTTAGGGGCTCTTGGACAGTAGGCTGTGGTCAAGAAACTCCAGGTAGAGCCTGGCTTCTGTCCCAAAGTCCAACACGCTCCCCAGAACAGGACCAGGCCCCAGGCCACCTTCAGTATAGTGTGGATGGCTCCATGGGTCTCATGGAATGCCCTGGCCAAAGAAATAGTATTTGTAGCCTGGAGGGACTTTCTAGGGGGATCCTGTGGGGAATAGTTCAAGGTGTCAGAGTGGGCAGTCTAGGGGCGCATCACCTTTCTCCCTGCGGCTTCTCCTAGAGAGTCCTGGGAATTTTTATTTATTTTTTATTTTTTTGGTACCAGGGATTGAACCCAGGGGTGCTTAGCCACTGAGCCACATCTCCAGCTCTTTTTTATTTTGAGACAGGGTCTCATTAAGTTGCTTGACACATTGCTAAGTTGCTGAGGCTGGCTTTGAACTTGTGATCCTTCTGCCTCAGCCTCCCAAGTTGCTGGGATTCCCGGCATGTGCCATTGCACCCGCTTCCCTTGGGAATCTTTCTGCCCACCCAAATTCCCTCTTCTTGTTCAGGTGCCATCCCTGCTTCTACTGTGTCTTGGGAGGAAAAAAAAAGGTGAGAATTCTCCCCTCTAGAGTGCTTCCCAATACATCCCTCCTGCAGGCTCCCAGATATAAGCAAGGGGACTAGAGAGTTTGAGAAGGGCAAGGTAGTGGTTAAGATCCCCAGACATGCCAGCTGTTGCCTTCGGAGGAGAACTGCCAGAGTCACAGGGGAGGAGGACCAGAGGGAAGTTACCTGTTGGGGAATGAGAAGGGGGAGGTGCAGCACCTGAAGCGTCTCAGGTGGAGGCAGCTGGCATGCTGACTGGCATGGGCACTGTGCCAGCTTCCAGGAGCCACCCTGGAAGATTCATTCTCGGCTGGAGATTCATTCCTGGTTCACTGTCACTTTGGTCAGGAGGTGGCATCTTCAGCCTTCTCCCTACACTAAGAGCCTTTCCAAGTTCTGAGGTCTCATTCATGGGAGGGGGAGGTGCACCTATCTTCCCCCTCCTCTGGAGCAGAGCAGGGGACCAGGTGGGGTCCATGAAGGATGAGGTTGCCAGGCCATCCCCACTCTGGCTCAACTGGAGACCTTGACATCTTTGCTCCTGTTCAGAAGCCACATTCCCTCTCACTTCTCCATGGGACATGTGGGGCCAGCAGTCCTAGGTGTTTGTGTGTCCCATAAGACATCTTTGGAGAGTTGGGGAGAGGGTCAAATGAGCTCATAGCTATGAGATGACCAGAAATGTGAAGGATTCGTCATTAAAAACTGAGCCTCACAAGAAATACTGAATCGGATTTAAGCCCCTCCAGGGGGACACCCAGGGGACCCTCTGAAGGAGCGCTTCTTAGGGAATGGGAAAATGAGTGCTTTGTCCTGCTGACACCTTTGGAACTGTTCCAATCCCTGGGGGCTGATTCACGGACTTGTCCCACTCAGTCCTGTCTATTGACTTCTTGGCATCTAGTGTAAGGGTGGAAAAATCTCCATGTCATACATTTTCCATTGTCATCTGGGAGAGAATGCCCAGGTCCTCATTATTGATAAAGTACCTATTTTAACTCTTAGATGCATTCCTGATCCCAGCTCTTTGCCACCAACCATATGGTTATGAGACTTGGTGTGTCTGGCTGGTCCCTGCTTCTACCCATGGGGCTAGGAGATGTCTGTGTAGGAGGCAAGGTGATTGGCTATCCTTCTCTGAGCCTCAATTCCTTTACTGTGATATGGGAATGAAAGTTGCCACTTCTATAGGGTTGGTGAAAGAGCTAAATTAGACATCACAGGTAAAGCACCTGCAGATTCTCTTCTCCTTAGGTGGGCAAAAATTGGGAACAGGAAGAAATTGTGTCCCTGGGGGTTAGAAATCTGAGTTGGGGGAGGCAAAAGGCAGAGGAGTCCTGTGCAGCAGCTAAATGGGGAGCCTGAATGGAACAGCATTATGTGCCCACACTCTGAGCTCTAGGAGGCTTGGGAGGTAGTGTCTTGCCGCTGAGAGGAAGCTACTCTACCAGTCTGACCCTCCTCTGCACAGGGCCTGCTGCCTCCCGTGCCCATCCTGGGCAGACAGCCAGGGAGGGAGCTGGACAGGTGCCCACGGCACTCTCAGAGGCCAAAAGATGGGCACCATCCAGTTGGCAGAGGGAGAGGCAGCTGGCCCAGGAGGGGAGAAGTCAGGGTGCCCAACTGCTGGGGTCGTGTGCCCAGACCATGTGTCAGTGTCACAGCTCTTGGCTGCCCTCCTGAATTGTCTGGCAGGAGTTGGGAAAGGCCCCCTCCTCCTCCAGCCCTAGCCCTGCCACCTGGGTTACTGCAACTGGACATTGATCTCTGAGGGGTATTTGGGACCTTGCCCCTAGCCGGGCATGTGGTTTGCTCAGAGGTAGGCCTGGGGGCGGGCAGGAAAGTGGGAGAGCCCAGATTAAGGCTGTGACTGGGTAGACCAGGAAGTGGGGAAACCGGTTTGTCATTCGGGCTACTTGGGGTGGGGTCTTCTCTCCTGGGTTCTCTGCCTGCCTGCCAGTTGGCCTGGTGTCCTACAGCGAAGAGATGCAGCGTGTCCCTTTCTTTATCATCTGAGCTGGCTTAAGGAATGCCAGGAATAAATAAAAGGGGCAAGGGTCTCAGCCCATTTTCCCTTTCCCAAGAGAGGCTTAGGAGAGAAGGGTTTAACCCGAGAATCGGATGCAGTGAGAGAGGAGCAATCAGAGCACGAGGAAGGGTCAGTACGGGTTTGGTTCGGAGCTGAAGTTCGCTGAGCCAACAGGTAAGCCAACTACAGTGGGTCAGGGCCGGATGGGGCGGAGCAGGCTGTCTGCAGGTTGCATTGGAGGTGGCAATGGCGCCTCTAAGCGAGGCGTGAGAAGGTGGAGTAGTTGTAGCGTCCTTCTCTAGGGTCCCATGTAGAGGAGAAATAATAGATTCCCCTTACTCTCAGCACGCACCGCTGCAGTTCCCGCACGCACCTGCAGGAGGCGCCGCAACCTTTAGTGTGTGTGGGGGGCTAGGAGGCAGTCCAGCAGGGGGCGCCAGGGAGCCAGGTCCCTCTGGAGGAGCACTGTCTAAGGCTAGGGGGAAGGGCCAAGGGGTGGAGGGGGGCGCCTTGGAGCCAGAGCGGGGTCCCCACTTTTCCTGCATAGGGCGGCTGCCGCGTTCTGAGGTCACCTTGGCTGAAGAGTGGCCCCCAGTCTCGTTGCCTCTCCTCGCCTTCCTGCCCCGCCCCGCCCCGACCCGACCCAAGTGCTTTTCTATCCCAGGAGTCTCGTACCCCTGAAAAGTCCCCCTTCCCCAGGTGCCTCTTCCAAGGCCAGTCCCCGGTCAATGTATTTGTCCCTGTCGTGTCGCGAGGACTGCTTAGGTTGGGGGAAGCAGGTGGAGTGGGGAGGGGAGCAGGAGCGCGCCCCGTACCCTACTCCGGTCGCGCGCTGCGGGATCCCGCGGTGCTGCTGGAGGGCGCGAGAAAGCGCAATGCCCCCTCCCCTCCCCCGCTCCCCGCCGCCCCCGGCGGCCCTTTGTACCATCCGGCCACACGCGCGTGCCCGCGCCGCGCGCGCTCCCGTCCGCAGTGACACACCCGCGCCGGCCGCACGCGCGCGATCTCACACACACACACACACACACACACACACACACACTCGCTCTCGCACACTCGGTGACACGCCCGCGCGCGCGCGCACCCACACGCCCGGCCGCCGGCGCCCTCCCAGCTGGTCCACCCCGGCGGGGCCCGCGCCCCCGGCCCGCCCGCCTGGCACCGCGCCCCGGGGCTGGGGCCGAGCGAGGAGCCCGTGAGGCGGCGAGAGGGCGAGCGCCAGGCAGGCCGGCCCGGGGCCCCCGCCCCCCGCGCCCCCGCCCGATGGGGAACGCTCCGTCCCAAGGCATGTCCCTGTCTCTCTCCTCCCTAATGTGCCTCCATGCTTAAGTGGAAGGTATTTCTGTTTTCTTTGTGTGTTTTCCCCTCGGCCGGGGGCGGGGGCGGCGGCCGGGCCCGGGAGGCGGCGGCCCGCGGGGCGAGGGATGCTCGGGACGCAGGTGTGTGTTGGGGGGCTGGGGACCGCCGCACGCCGGCCTTGGGAGAAGGACCCGGGCGCGAGAGTGCTGGGACCAGAGATGGGGTTAGGGATTGGGAAGACTGGAGACGGGGCGGGAGGGCCTCGCGGTACCCGGGGGAGGGGGCCTGAGGGGGTTGAAATGTAAAGGAGTATGTGTGGAGGGGGAGGGGTGGGAGAAGAAGAAGGGGGATGGATGGCGAGGAGAGTGGGGGGAGGGGAGTGGTCCATCGGAGGTGGAGGCAGAGGAGGCTACAGGGGGAGGGGATGGGGATGGAGAAGTGAGGAGCATCAAAGGCCTTCCCCTGCCCCAGCTCCCAGAATGGGGTACAGGCTGGGGCTGGTGGTAATGGGCCCTTCACGTCAGCCCCCCAGGGAAGAAAGGGGCTAAGTGCGTTCTGGGGTTGGCTGTGTTGCCAGGATACAAGCCCAGATTCCACCCCCACCCCCCTGCACCTCGAGGCCCTAGCCCTGGAGACCTCTGAGCCTCAGCAGCAGTTGCAGAAACTGGGGACCTGCTCCCTGCTCGACTGGCGGGTTGGGAGGGCCCACGAGAGGGAGGGGCTGGGGGAGGGGCTATTTGATCTTAAGCCCTCCCCCTGCAGAGGCCAGAGGGCAGGGGAGGGCGCCCCCAGCTGGGGAGGGCATCCAGGGTGAATGAAGAGATAGGGACTGGGGTGGGCCCAGGAACAGAGGGCGGGGCTGGGGCTAAGACGCGCAGTGGCCCCCCCTTCCCTCCCACGCACCCCCCTGCTACGTCAGAAGCTCCCGGGCCAGCTCCTAGTCCTGTCGGTGGGGGCAGCAGGATGCTGGTGGCAGCAGAGGGGGCCGGCCGGGTGCCTCCGCAGCTAGGCTGGCAGGGCCCGGCGGGGCGTGTGCGGCTGCTGGTACGCGCCCCCAGCCCCACGCCTCCCCATGCAGCCCTGGCAGTGCCTCCGGCGCTTTGCCCTGGCCTGGTGGGAGAGGACCGCGGAGGGCAGTGCCCGCGCTCCCAGGGAGGAGGCTGGACCAAGGGACGCTGGGGGCCGAGGGGAGCCAGGTGAGCCGGATTAGGGCTGTGGGCAAGGAGGGGGTCCTGGACCGTCTTTTCCAGCCTCTCTCCTCAAATTCTGCAGGACCAGGAGGTCCTGCAGCCCCCAACTTTGAGGGAAGTGAGGTCCTCGAGCTGGAGATTTCTGTCTGAAGCTCTTCAAAGGAGCTATAGGAGCTTCTGTCTGTTTTGGGGGAAAAGGAAACAGATGAGGGTGGGGAGTGAAGGAAGCTGACCCGACTTGAGATTTGTGGGTCTGAATGTTCCTTTGGGTGGGGGTTGAGCACTCTAGGGGGGTTAGAATACCTTCTGGACTCTGGGAATCTTGGTGTGGGTGACCTTGAACCAACTGCTTTGCTGTCTAACTCTGTGCCTCAGTTTCTCTCATTCCCTTTGCTCCCCGTCTGGCTGGTCTTAAAAAATTGATGATGCATTTGACAGAGACTGTCACTGTGAAATGTAAGGCTCTGTCATCACAGGTGGCAGGGGGGCTGGCTGTGTTTTCTGGTGAGGTTGTGCATGTGTGTGTATGTGGGGTCAGTTATGATGTACGTGTTTAGGGTTTGGCTGGCTATGGTTGATGTTGGGGCCACTCTGGGCAAGCATCACAGGAAGGAGAGTTTCAGGCAAGTAAGAGTTGCTGGGGCAGAGACCTAGCTAGTGGTCTGGTGTAGAAGCAAGGAATGGGGGTGAGGACTCTGGGATAAGGGGAGGGGGCTCCAAGAATAATATCCCCCCAGCTCCCCACCCAGACTGCCTGGCACCCAGGCACCATTGGCAGCAAGTGCAAAGGCTTTGCCCTGGCTTCCTGCCACCCTGCCTAGGGACAAGAGGGTCTTTGTCCAGTGCACCCCCCAAGTCTTGCTCCTTCCGCCTTTTCTGCCGTGGCTGATTCTCTGCGATGACCCTCAGGGCTCCAATGGAGATGCTGTGGGTCCCCCTTCTGGTTCCTGCTATCTGTGCTCTGGAGATCTTTCTGAAAGAAGCAACTGTGGTGTCAGGCAGGGAAAGGAAAGGGGAGGGGTCCCTAGAATACGCCTTTTGGAGGCTTACCCCAATCCCAGAGGTTCACCCCAGCGCTCTACTTGCCTTCTTGCCTAATGCAGGGGCCTGGGGTCTTCATGGCCTGATTTCTGCAGAGCTTCAGGCTTCTCAAAGATGTCTAAGGTATTTTTCAGGATGCAGGGCCTCTCTGGTGTTCTCTCTTCTCTCTTTCCCTGGCCAGGGACCCACCCTGGAAAGAGGGTTTAATTAGAACCATTGATTCCTTCTTTGGCTGCGGGCATTGATCTCAATGGTGTGGTCAGAGATGGGGGCGGGGGTGGCACCACTGCTGTCTACCCAGTGCCAACCTTGCTATTCTCTGCCAAAACCCCTGCCAGCGCTGGAAGCGCTGAGGGGGAAGGGGCTGGGTTCTTTGATGTACCTGGTCTGCGTAGCGCCCCCACTTCACCCCACCTGGATTAGAAAGAAGGAAGACAGGGTTGAAGATCTGAATTGCTGGAACTGTGTTTAGGGTTAGAGAAAAGAAAGGTCATAGTGTCTTTCCTTCTGAATAGTGGGCCTGGGGCACAGGCAGAGGCAGCTGTGTTGGGAGGGAGTCTTTCCAAGAGGGGTCGGGGCAGTGGAGGAAGCCTGTGGGTGCTGGGCAAGTACCAGGAGAAGGCTCCAGGGCTTGCCATAAAAGCTTCTCTTTCGAGGAATCCTAAGCACTTATCTCCTCCAAGCCCTGGCAAGGAGATCTGTTTTCTTCCTTTATTTGTGTCCGAAAGGCCCAGAGAGGGACAGAAACTGCCTTAGATGCCCAGCTGGCCCGGGTCTGGCCACTGAGCCTGGCTTTCTGACCTGGGCACAAGGTGCAGAGCGTGAGGCTGCTGGCAGCCTATGATCTGGTTCCTAGCACTGGTGGGGGGTGGGGACAGGTTGCGCCCCCCAAACCCCAGCAGCCTGCCGTGGGTGGGCTGATGCAGGTGCCGGCTTCAATGAGGCACTCAGACGCTCTTTGAAGAATCCCTAGTTGGCTTCCCAGGGCCCATTCGAGCAAAGATAATAAAAATCTGGCCGTCAGCGGGTTTGAGGGCTGCACTCACTCGCTTCCCCTTCTTTCATTCCAGGCTCTGAAAAGAGGAGATGAAGGCTTTGGATTTGGCTGCGAAGGCCCCCGGGGAGGGAAGGAGGGAGGGAGGTGGAGAGGAGGGAGGACTGATTTCCTGGCAGCCAAGGGAGTAGCTGGGGAGGTGGGCAGAGGGGCAGGGGCCTGGTCCCCAAATTCTGCCAGATAGCCTAGGCGCTCACTGCCAGGGCTCCTGGTCCCCATACCTGGGCTCTAGCATTGTCCTTCAGGTCCCTGGGCACCCTTCTCTGATCTGCTGCCCCCCCCTCTACTCTCTGCCCCACTCCCATCTTTCCCCACCCCTCCGCTCTCCTCCCTGCCACCCAGACTCCCCATGTTCTGCCTGGTCTCCCCTCCCTGCCCCTCGGTTTCTCCTGCTCTGTCCTTCATGCGCTCCCTTTCTCCCAGTTCTCAAGTCCCCCCTTCCTCCCTCTGGCTGCTCCCTCTCCCTCTACCTGTCTTCCCTCCCTCTCCCTCCTGCTTTCTAGGACTGTCTGGAAGGTTGTGAAGCCAAGGGGGTGGTGTGCAAAGCAGCCACAGCGCAGCCTCCGAAGGGATGGCCTAGCTGGTCTGTCAGGTGCTATTGTTATCAGTGTCCAGGCAGAAGGGGGCCGCTGTGCGCTTAGGGATGAGAGTGTGTGTGTGTGTGTGTGTGTGTGTACACGCAGCAAGGGCACATCCCCTCCCCTCAGCACAGCGGGCACCTTGCCCTGACATTGGGCTCTTCCTCCCCTGCCTCAGATACTTCAGTCACCCTGAGGCTTCCCTCTCCAGAGCCCCAGCCCCTGGTTTCTGACCCTCTGGTCCCCCAGGGATCCTGCTGTCCTTGTACACTGTTCCCCACACACCCACCAGTCTGCCTCCAGGCTCAGAGGTGGGGAGGAGGGGCCCAAGAGGCCTCTCCACTCAGTCCCCCATAGGGGTCTCCGCTAAGCCTGCCTGAGTCCTCTCCAGGCCCTGGGTCCCCTTCGACCTATTGGCCAATCCCGGAAAGAGCCCTAGACTAGATCGAAAAATCTAATTCTGATCCGTCCTTGGTACCCAAGTGTCTGTGTGACCTTGAGCAAGTCCCTTCCCACCGGGGACTCTTTCCTCACCTGTGAAATGAGGGGGCGTGGGCTGGATGATCTCCAAGGTCTCTTCTGACATTCCGGGCGATGTTGTGTCTCTCTTCTGGGTTATTTGCATATGCTTTGCATATATTAATAGTGCCTGCTTGAAGAAGGAGGGCACCACCCACACCGGCCTGGAGTCCCACCCACCATTCTGACTCCCCTTGCCCATTGGTCCAGGCTTCTTCGGCTCCAGTTTCCTAGAGGGTGGAAGCTGAGGCTGAGCATTCCCTGGGGAGAGGGGCCCCTGCCCCTGCATCCCAGCTTTGCTAGAGCTAAGGCCAAGGTATGGCTTTGGTGGAGGGAATCCCTGTCCTGCCCTAAAAAGTCCAAACAGGGAAGCATGGTCATATGCCTTTGGCTTTCCAGATGCCAGAAGCTTCCGTAGGTGCAAGAACTCCCACTCTGCTCCATCTCCCATCCACAGTCCCTGATGAGACTGACCAGGTTGTGCCTCTGCCCAGGTCCCTGGGCTCCAGGAATGTGGGCTGAACATGGGCCTTAGAGATGGTCATTAAGAAAGATTAGGTTAGGGCTGTAGCTCAGTGGTAGAGTGCTTGCCTTGCAGGTGTGA